GGACCAGCAGTTAGCATAATGGCTATGTTGCTGGCCTCCCATGTAGTCAGCCGTGGTTCACATCCTGGGCCTGGTGGCTTACTCACGCAGGGCACATGTGCGTGTGTGCCCAAGATCCCGAGAGGAGAATGGAGGAGAAGGGATTGTGGGGTGGCCATCCCCCCTGGGGGGTGATTTCTTGCTGTCTGTCTGGCAAACACATGCGCCCTATAGCAAAAACCTCTAAAACAAACAAACAAAAGGACACACTTCTTGGGGGAGTGCATTTTCATTCCAAGGGTGACAGTGCTTAACACTGACTGATCTGCATGCTGTCTCCTCCCCTAGACCATGACTAGGCTCCAGTCACATGCAATGAGAAGATCTCTGACGATTTTTCTGGCTCACTTGTCTTCAGGTGACAAAGAATTCACCTTCCCAAGTATCTTGAAACATGGTAAAAGATGTTAAAGTAGGCATTCTTCTACACCATATTTGAAAAAGTGGGAAGATAGGGACCAGCAGTTGGCCAAATGGCTATATCGTTGAACTCCCATGTAGTCGACTGCAGTTCAAGTCCCAAATCTGGTGGCTTAAACTCATGCCAGGCACGTGTGCGTGCATGCCCAAGATCCAGGGAGGAGAATGGAGGAGAAGGTATTGTGGCATGGCCATCCCCCTGGGGCGTGATTTCTCGCTTTCTGTCTGTCTCTCTCTGGCTTTCAGGCAAGTGCATGCGCCCTATAGCAAAACCCAAAAAAAAAAAAAAAAGGAAATTTGGGAAGATAAAATTTTGTTAAATGTTTAGCTTCCAAGTACCTAGGAAGAAGTCTTAGGACCCAGATTAGTGCATTTAAACACTAACTTAAGAGTCATACAGAAGCATCCTAGTAAGATTAAATATCCAAGTGATTTTTTAAGAGTTCATTGCAATCTCTTCGAATCAAAACTTTAACTTTATAAGTGAAATAAACACAGGTAAACTTTCAAACATGTGAAGTCCTTGCTCTGTGCCTTCTTCCCTTCCCCCAGTGGCTTCAGGCAAGTATAATCTTGTGCGGCATCTTGAGTCCTTGACTTTCAGGAGACTGGGTTCTTTGATGTGGGATGGGGGATCAATCGAAAGTACTTACAACCCATTTTCCTTTCAGTTTAGTTTTCCAAGTTATGTTTTTTATTCTTTAAGGCAGGTGAAGTACATATGTTGGAATAACAAAAACATTGTTTTCCTGTCAGTTATTGATAGCCTGGAAGCTCGTCCCTGTATGTTATCAATGTTACAACTAGAGGAAGGCAAAAAGTAGTAATAAAGGGAAACTCAACTGTTAAAATTCTCTTGAAAATAATTTTCCCATTTAAAAATTCTTATTGTGGTAAAATAGTCACAGTAAAAATCCAGCGAAGTTAATTTTTTTTTTATTAAAATCAAAGCACCAATCTGCCCCCAAAAATTAAAACAAAAGGGGAAAATAACCCACAAAAATACTGCCTCAGGTGTCCTTCCCAACAAGCAAAACCCTCCCGGAGAAGGAAATCTGTGATCTGATTGGCTAGCACTATTCCCACTAAGGAGCGAGTCATCGGCATGGGAATTAAGACTGCACATTCACATCTGAGATGAAGGCAGACTAAACGTTTGTAAAAAGACAATTATTAATTTACATGGGGCTATAAAATACTTTAAAATATGTACATGGTTATTTAAAAAGACAGTTCAATAATGAATTAGATGACTGAACTTGTAGTCATGTCTATAATTTTAATGACCAATCAGAACACTAGATTTCTCTCATTCATAATGAACACAGAAATGAGTACATCTTTCAACTTAAAAAACATTTGTTGACATGCGCTAACTTACTTTTGGGATTCACATAATTTGAATCAGGCCTCAGCAAAAAGGAGTTCCTCCTCTGTTTCTTTCTCCATGGAACTCCTCAAATGTTACGTTTGTCGCTGCATTTGAAATGGAAATTCATAAATGGAGCAGTGGGCTGTATATTCACCCTTTTGGTCGTGGCACTAACCTTTCTGAAAACATTCCTAAATTTTTCTATCTCTACACTGCTAACTGGTAATAAAATGTAAAGCCTATTTTCTCAGCTTGGAAAAAAAAAGTGGTACTACTATTGGAAGAGGACATTTTCCTTTTCTTTTAGCATCTTCTACTTTCCTACCTCTCCATTCAGAAAAGACGACAGGATCTATTAATTCACAGGACAAAATGATTGCATTGCTAGATGCTGGTGTAAAACTGTATTTTGTATTTAATATGGTGTGTCTCACTCCAGTAATACTCCTACCGTAACCATGTATTACTGATAGTGACGCGGGCGTTCTTTATTACCAAGAAGATCAGACACTTGGCACCCAGGAAAGCTGTTGGTAAGGTGGAACTCAGTACATGCCAGCTTCCTCGAGGTCTGCTCTTCATAAGCCCTGGTCACAGGTGTATTCATATCCAGCAATGGGGGTCCTGTAACTGTGATAAGGGGCTCTCCAATCGAGAGGGAAACTTCTCAGTTTTTGGTCAGAGATAAACAGAGTGGAGGTTTCAGTCGAGGTTCTTTAATGGAACTTCACTTGCAGGGGAATATTAAGTAAGGCTCTTCTTGTAGTTGCTGTTATGATCTACTTAGCTGGTACTCACCTGGACACATGGGCGCTTATTAAGCGGTCACAGAATTTTAGTCTTAAAGACCATTACAAAAGGGCTAATTGGAGTGAGAAACCCAAGCACTTACTTCTAATATAATTTATATTATTACGTATGATGATAGGAAAGATGGTTCTCAACTGCTTTTCATTTAGCAAAAGGTAAGTAAAGGTGAAATAGACAATACTGTTTTAAAAGATTAATATGGCACTGACCATAAAAGTAGTAGTTTGGGATATATCAGAAGAAATTCGGGCTCAGATACACTTAGGACTTAAAGGAAAAAAATAATTTCCTATCTTCCATTGTAATGATTCTGAATTTATCTGCGTTGTCCTGTTTTAATTCAAGAGACTTGTAGGAGAGAACAAATCATCAGAACAGCATTGTAAGACACCAACAACACACTCATTAGCAACAGCTGCACAGTTGCTGTGCTAAAATGGCTGGAGCATAAAGAACAAAACAAAACAGAACAAAAACAAAAACAAAAGGAATATGCATTATTATAAAAATTTGTTCAAATAGTCTTTGGAGAACAAATGCCAAATGCATATTCAAAATAACACAACAAACACCACCATGTAACACATATTTGCAAAAGTGATCTTTTTTATAAGTAATACATAACTGATTTATTATGGACAACACCTAAGCCTATATAGAAAATGGAAAGCTATTATTAATAAGTTCTTTTTCTCCTTATATTTGATCTTTAGCAGTACTTGAAAACCCAATGACTTAGCAACAGAATATTTTCAAATTGTCCCTTTTAAGAAGTAATGCTGGGGGTGGAACAGAGGGGCTCAGGAAAAACTAATTAAGAGACTCAAGATAGCATGTAACAGATAAATGGGTTATGGACAGGTAAAACACAACAGAGTTTAAAAAAAAAAAAGCAGAAAAACAGAAACAAAAACAACCACAACCAAAAAACTGTTGTCAGTCATTCATATATAATGTTAAGATACACACATGTATATAATATACATATATACATAATGTATATATATATAAAATATACATATTATGTATAATACATGCATGTATCTCAAGAAAATGAAAACTAGACTTAATAGTGAAGGTATACACCATAATACTCACTGTTGAACATGATGAATATGTTAGTATGATGTGGCCATGATCTGATTATCATACACTGTATGATAATGAAAAACTGTTTTATCCCTCGGAGATGTACAATTAAATGTAAACAAAAAATTATAAAATAAATAAAATGTAAGAGAAAAAAAATAGTGTCATTTAAATAAAAGCAAGCCCTGGATGTCAAACTTATGAAAGATGATATAATCCAAAGAACAGTATTCTTCCTAGTCGGCTATATTTTTATTCTATCATCCTAAAGGAAAAAATTTCCTACTCAATGTTTCATAAATAAAGGTTTACTTTGACAAACTAAAACTATTCATGTGTAAGTATTTTGTCAAATGTTAAATTAATATATGGCACAGCAACAGTCTTCTATCCTAATTATCTTTGACAAGTTCATCTGATCCTAAGAAATAATAAGTAAAGGGAACTAAAGCCCAAACTCCTGAGAGAAGGGATTGTGGTGTGGCCATTCCTCCTGGGGGGTGGGGGGGTGGGGTGGGTGATTTCTCACTCGTGCTTGTGCGCTCGCTCTCTCTCTCTCTCTCTCTCTCCTGGTGAGCAGACGTACCCAACAGCAAAAACAAAACCAAAATCAGGAAAATAATAAAATAAAAAAGAACAAATGGATGTCAGTTAAACCATCTAGGTTTGGCCCATTAAACATGCTTGTACAAATCTGTATCACTATCAGAATCTAAATTGAGAACTAAGTTGGTCAAAGATTAAATTTGAGGTTATGACTCCTTACAAAAAAATTAAAAATTAAATTTAAAAAATCAGAAATAGATGCTCCCAAACAATTTTTTACTTTATTTCTCTTACCTGTCTGCTTCCAAATCTTGCAATACATTTTCATTCCAAATTATAATAACATGAAAAGTAGTCCCTTTTCAGGGGAACTTATACTTAATGTCCAATAGGGTATATGATGAAGAAACCTTACATCAAATACATTACACAGTATTTGTATTTGATATTTTGGATGGTTCCACAAAAAGCCATAGTGCAAACAATGGGGTTTGCTATAAAAGGACTGCCTGCACAGCCAAAAAGAAAAAAAAAAAAAAAAAAAGGAAAAATGGAAGAAAAAACAGACAAATGACACAGACACACAGCAAAACCAAACATGGGTATATTTACTTTCCTCAGTGGAAGAGGCTGAGGAAAATTTAGACAAGTATGAAAAATGGCCTCAAAAATCTGCTATAGCAAACACCTCTATAAACAAGATAAAAACAAAAAAATCAAACACTTGATTTCCTGATTTTCTTTAATACAGTTGTCATCTTACACAACATACTATTGGGTGCCTTCTTAATTGCATCTAATCTACCCTCCTGCCCTGGTCAGCGTCCTGGGATGACACTCGTCACCTCTCGTGTTCACGGAGCACTGCTCTCTAGGTACAGACCACCTAACTCATGTGGCCAGGCCGTAATCGATGGGTAGTGATATCCATGTTCTAAAAACAGGCTAATGCACATATTCAAATCACATCACATGTTCAAGTTACAGGGTCCGGTTAAGTCCATTTCCTTCTACGTGGCCATCACTCCCAACGGTTTTGAAATCCAAACAGTTGGAAGACTGTCTTTTTGTTGTTAATTGATTTTCTCTTCCTTCTTGGCATCTTTTCCTCCTCCCCTCCTTCCATTTATCCCTTGCTTCCTCCTGTTCTTTTTTTTATGGTAAGAGGTTAAAAGAAATAGATTATTAAGGAAATCAAAGTCTAGTAAACTTCAAAAACAGAGAGATCAGAATGGTCTCACATTTTTCTTTGTATTGATGTTAAATTACTGACAGATGTTTTTTAAAAACAAATCTAAAAACCAGCATGTAGAGACGGTGTTGTTTATTTAAGCAACTGGCGCTCCTCAGTGCTTTTGAGGCGTTTCTTCCGGGGCTGTACAAAGTCGTCATCTGAATCGTCACTACATTTATTATCTTCTGATTCATTCCTGAATTCAAGTTTAGGAAACTTTTTTTCTGGATAAAGGTTCTTTAGAAGTTCTTCAAAATAGCTTTCAAGTTTTATACCAGCATTAGCTACTTCTGAATCAGGCTGTTAGATAAAAATAAAAATATAAATTAAAAATTAAAGACCATTATTTTTGGTAGTCAATAAAAGTAATAAATCTCTCAACACTTGTTCGCTTTTGACTCTTGGGATTATGAATATCACTAGAGTATTCTGGAAAATGTTTATTCATGGTTACTGGTATTAAAAGAGTCTTCTTGTTATTGGCTGTAGTTTTCATTTCTACTCGCCATATAATGAACCCATGAATATATAAATTTAGATAAAGACTTCATAATTACCTCTTTAATTCCCTAGCAGACCTGAATGATTAGAAATTTATTCTATCAGAGACATCTTGGTCTCTTTATTTGTTGATAAGGGGTTTGGTTTAATTAATTTCACATTGCTATTTCTATTGTTTATCCCCTCCCCCCACCCCCACTCACCTCATTGAATTCAGCACAGTTCTGAAAGATCAATCTAAAATCAGCTATAAAATCTTCAGGCTTCGTGTACATGGGATAATCTTCTTGAAGTCTTTTCTTGATGGTTGATAAATCCATTGGATTTTTAATGATTTTGTAATAGTCAGGCACCTTTCAAAACAAATGAGGCACTATAATACCAATAACTGAATTCTCATTGGTCATGAATAAATTCTACATGAAGCGGTAAAAATTCAGATTGTTCTCTGTCTGTCCTAGGAGAGGCTGCCCATTCGGGAGTCTTTACAAGTGCCGATTGCCTTCCACACACTGGTAAAGGTGTCTTGTCACTTGGCCCAAAACTTTTACCCTTATTATTTTTAAAACATTTATTTATCATTATTATTATTTTAATTTGCTATAGCGAACACGTACTCACTAGAGAAAGAGAGAGGAAAAGAGAGAGAGAGAGAGAGCTGCCAGGTCTGGGACTCAAACTGCAATTGACCTTTTGGGTTTTAACTACCATGCAGCCAGCTGACCACTGCCATTATTTTTATTGATTTCTTTTTTCTGAGAGATTTTTTGCTATAGGGTGTGTGTGCTCACCACAGACAGAGGCAGAAAGTGAGAAATCACCCCCAAGAAAGATGGTCATGTCACAACCCCTTCTCCTCTTGGGATCTTGGGCTTGCATGCAGATGTGCCCAGCATGAGTTTCAAGCCACCAGGTCTAGACTTAAATTACAGTTGGCCACATGGCAGTACAGTGCATGAACCACTACTCCACCTGCTGGTCCCATCCTGTCATTATTTTTAGTAAGAACTGTCTTCACATATTTCCCCTTAAACTGTCTCTTATTCTATTTTTTAAAAGAATTATTTACTTAATTCCATTTGTTGTTGTTGTTGTTGTTATTATTATTCTTAATTTGACCAGACAGACGGAGAGAGAGAAAAGGAAAAGGAGAAAGCAAGCCACCAGTTCCAAAACCCGAACTGCGGTAGGCCATGTAGGAGTCCAGCACCTTTAACCTCCACACCACCTGACAGCCCAACTACCCCACTTCATTATTAAACATCATAATTAAACAAAGAGCTATTATTAGAAAAAGAGCATAACTTCTAGTAGGACTTGGCATGTTTTTGCTGTATGCATGACAGCAAGTAGCAAAGAAGCCTAAAGCTGGTGTGAGCCCAGCTCTGCACTCAGGAGCAGATCCTGGGTGAGTTACTGAACCTTGCTGGACTTCACCTTGGTTTCTCCGTATTCCAAATAGGGATAATCCCGGCAACGGCACAATGTTTTGGGAAGACTGTATGATATGTTTAAGAAAAATACGTCTATTTTATTGCTGCTGTTATTACTAATACCAAGTGTAACTGTAAGCCAAGGTTCTGATTCTACCTTAAATTTGTAAGTTTGTACTGCTGCAACAAGCCTCTTTGAGTTTTCTACCCTACCTCTTTTGAGTAGAAAGCCCCTTCCCCCTAAAAGTTATCTTCTGTTTCTCAACTTCTCAAAGTTGTTCTTAAGAAAGAAGTTGATCGCCTGCCTTGTTGCCTGGTAGTCCAAGGGGGCAAGATCTTACATGGCCAACTGTGCAATTCAACTTTCAAGCACGGCAGTGTGAAAAATACATGGGATACATGTACACACATGACTCAAGTCCCAAAAGGATGGAGAAATGGAGAACAAGGGGATGCAGTGTGACCATGCACCATTGAGGGGAGCCTTCTCCCTCTGGCAAGCACACATCCTCTGGCAAATTTTAAAAAATAAAAAAAGAAAGAAGACACAAAGACAGAAAGGAAAGGAAAGGAAAGGAAAGGAAAGGAAAGGAAAGGAAAGGAAAGGAAAGGAAAGGAAAGGAAAGGAAAGGAAAGGAAAGGAAAGGAAAGGAAAGGAAAGGAAAGGAAAGGAAAGGAAAGGAAAGGAAAGGAAAGGAAAGGAAAGGAAAGGAAAGGAAAGGAAAGGAAAGGAAAGGAAAGGAAAGGAAAGGAAAGGAAAAGGAAAAGGAAAGGAACAGGAAAAGGAAAGGAAAAGAAAAGAAAAGAAAAAGAAAAAGAAAAAGTAAAAGTTGACTATTATCAGCCAAATATATTTACTAGGTAGTTTTTTTTAATACTGCAATAATTTTTAAAATTTATGACCTTATAAAACAAAGTTATTGAATTTTTAAGGTATTTCAGACATCGGAGAATAGAAGGAAAACATGTTTTGGATAGCAGTCCCTTTCTAGCACAATTATTCATTAAATTCATTTCGAATTTCCAAAATGAACCTTATAATGTCAATGGTTACATAAATACATCTCTTCCTTCAATTTCTTTATTGTTAAGGTCTACTTATTACTTGAAATCTGGGCTAATAAGTATAGAAAGTTTTGAGGCCTTTACCTCAAATGGAAAGTTTTTTCCCCAGAAGACTGGGATATAATGCCCGAGTCTCAAAACATAGACACAGCTGGCAGAAATCATCCCAGAGAACAGTAGGGAAAACAAGTGAGATGTGGAAAATTGGGGCCGGCAGGTAGCATGGTGGCTAGGGGGCTGGACTCCGACATGGCTGACCATGATTCGAGTCCTGGATAAGGTGGTATGCTTTCTCACTTTTCCTCTCTCTCTTTTTCTGGTCAAATTAAAAAATAATATTTAATTAATAATTCCTTAAAAAAAAAAGAATTATTTTATTTAGGGACTAGTAGATGGCATAATGGTTATGTCACTGGACTCACATAGACGAATGCAGATCTAATCCCAGACCCAGCAGCTTAAAACAACATTGGGTGTATGTGTATGTACCAAGAAGAGAATAGAGAAGGGATTGAGGCATGGCCATCCTCCCTGGGGGGGGGGGGGACGGTGATTTCTCATTTTCTGTCTGTCTGGCGAGCGCATGCACCCAATGGAAAAAAATCTTTCTCTCTTGGGGGAAAAAAAAAAGGAATTATTTAATTTTATTCATCATTATTATTCTTTAAATTTGACCAGAGAGAGACAAAGAAAGAGAGAAACAAAGTGAGAAAGCAAGCCACCAGGCTGAGGACTCAAACTATATGGTCAGCCATGTGGGAGTCTAGCACCTTAACCATCATAAGTCATTCTTTACAGGGAAAAAATAAAAAAAAGAATAACTGAAAAGTGAACAGAAACCTTTGGCCAACTTGATGACTTTTAAATATATTTACTTATAACCAAAGCATTCAGTAGCAATAGTTTTTAAGATTTGAATTAAATATAAGAGACAATTGAAAAATGCTACAGAAACTAGATTTGCATGAAATAAAACTTTAGAAAAACTATACCACTGGGTAAACTTTTGCAAGATGACATTGATACTTACAGTCAGGGGAACTGGGTCTTGAAAAGCCAGGCTCATTTCATGGCAGTAAAGAAATAAAAGCAGACGTTCACACTTCTAAGCAAACAAAAATAAATAAAAATTAAAACAAAAATACAGCAAAACAATAAACTTACATTTTATTCTTGGGAGTTTTGTCCTCCTTGCCCATCATTTACTGAAAAGTACTCTCGTCTCTGTAATTAACTAAACTAAAACAGTATCACTAGAAACCTGTTTGAAGTTTTTTAAAAAGCAATTTCCACTTATTACTTTGGTTTGTGGATTGTTAATAGTCAATGAAGGAAGAACGTAGGTCTATTAAAAGGTCCAGAGGTAGTGCCTTTTCCCAGGGCCATCAACCCATCCCCCAGCCCTACTAGGGACAGTCCTAACATGTGCTCTGGTACTTCTCTGCTTGTGGTGTATTCCAGGAAACAGTGCACAAGTTCTGACAGTGAGAATTGTGTCCTATCTATCTAGCTATCTATTTATTGTCCGTTTTTATTTTAGGGCACATGTATTGCTAAAGAGAAAGAAAGTAAAAAGTCATCCCCCAGAGTACATGGCCCGTTGCAATCCCTTCTCCAGTCTCCTCTCAGGATTGTGAGGACACATGCACACGTGCGTACCTGGCTGGCGTGCCTTCCAGGCTACCGGGTTGAACTGTACAGTTGGCCAAGTGGGATTAAGTTCCCTAACTCCATGTTACCTGCCGGCCTGTGTTTGGGCAACACAACTCTTGTGTGGACTATTTTACTTGACAATATAGGAAAAGGGGAATTTTAGTAATGAAGTGTTGACTTACTAGTTTTATATATTGATTATAGTTTATACACTAACTGGACTTAATGTATAAAAAACTAATACCAGTTGGTTAAAGAATGAAATTTATGGAAAGTACACCAACTCACCCCCTTACTGCCAAGTTTCAACAAATTCTGAAAAAAATTTTATTTTGTGTCAGTCCCATGGCCTTGACGTTAAGGGGCCCAAATTCCATACAACCAACTATGTGGTGCAAGTCCCAGACCCAGCAGGTTAAGGAACATGCTGGGCATATGTACACGCGTGCCCAAAGGCTTGACAAGAGGAAGCTGTGGAGTAAAAGGAATTGCAGTGCGTCCATTCCCCCGGGGACTGGGAGTGCTTTCTTCTCTCCTCTGCACCTCTCTGGTGAGCACATGCATTATCTAGGCAAAAACAAAAAGAAACAAGCCACACTGGGCATGTGTATATGCATGCTCCAACACTCCCAGGACACAGAAGTGGACGAGAAGGGATTATGACATGAACCTGCCTCATTGGGGAGAACTTTGCCCCTCTTTGCTTCTCACTGGTGTGTGCATGTGTCCTCAGACAAATTTAAAGTAAAATGCATCTGTGGTAGAAATAAAATGAATAGAGGGACCAGCAAGTGCATGGGGGTTAAGGGCACTGAACTCCCACATGGCCGAGCTGGTTCATGTCCTGGACTTGGCAGCAACTCGCTTGCTCGCTTGCTCTAGCTCTCCCCCGCTCTGGTCAAATTAAAATTAAAAAAAAAAAAAAAAGAGAGAGAGTGAGAAAGAAAGCAAATGAATAGAAATGTACTCAGTGTAGGAGCCAGAAGGTGGTGTGGTGATTAAGGGTGCTGGATTCACACATGGCTGACTGAGGTTCAAGTCCCAGACCTGGTGGCTTGCTTTCTTGCTTTCCATTTTCTCTCTCTGGTCAAATTAAAAAATAATAATAATAGTAAATAGAATTAAATAAATAAACAAGAAATACTTTAAAAAGAAAAAGAAACTAACTAACTAAAAAGCCCAGGCTATATACTGACGATCTGCACTTCATGGTAGAGATAGAAATATTGGAGGGCATAAAAGCACTGAAAAGTTATGGATGCTGAAGACAGTGTGGAACAGAGTGGAAGAAGGGAAGCAAATAGAGAAGGACAGCGACAGAACAAATAGTGAGGAATGGCATTAGTGGGACACAGAAATGGCTTATTACTTATGGATGAGAGCACGTACAACATTCTCAACTGGGCTGGACTGAGGTGTATAGCTGGTTCATGTCCTGGACTTGGCAGCAACTCGCTTGCTCGCTTGCTCTAGCTCTCCCCCGCTCTGGTCAAATTAAAATTAAAAAAAAAAAAAAAGAGAGAGAGTGAGAAAGAAAGCAAATGAATAGAAATGTACTCAGTGTAGGAGCCAGAAGGTGGTGTGGTGATTAAGGGTGCTGGATTCACACATGGCTGACTGAGGTTCAAGTCCCAGACCTGGTGGCTTGCTTTCTTGCTTTCCCTTTTCTCTCTCTGGTAAATTTAACAAATAATAATAATAGTAAATAGAATTAAATAAATAAACAAGAAATACTTTAAAAAGAAAAAGAAACTAACTAACTAAAAAGCCCAGGCTATATACTGACGATCTGCACTTCATGGTAGAGATAGAAATATTGGAGGGCATAAAAGCACTGAAAAGTTATGGATGCTGAAGACAGTGTGGAACAGAGTGGAAGAAGGGAAGCAAATAGAGAAGGACAGCGACAGAACAAATAGTGAGGAATGGCATTAGTGGGACACAGAAATGGCTTATTACTTATGGATGAGAGCACGTACAACATTCTCAACTGGACTGGTCTGAGAAGTATTACATGCTGGGCAAGTTCTTTTTACAAGTCAAATGATATATAGTGATTGAAAGTTAAATATAATGAGGATAATAATAATGTGAAAAAAAAATGATGAAAAGCTATTTGATGATGATGATGATGTGGATAGTAATGTCTTTGCTTTGACTGATATACATGGTGTTCCTGCTGGGAAAAGAATGTAATACACTGTAAAGATATATGGGATTCAATGTAATATAAACAAGATTATCATAATAATAAATTAAATTAAATTAAAAAAGAAAATGGACTGCAAAATAAATTGTTTTGAAGGGGAAAAAAAAAAGAAAAAAGAAAAAAAAAGCCCAGGCTACGAAAAGGGCACATAGGGACCAGCAGATGGTGTAATAGCTATGTTGCTGAACTCCCATGTGGTCGACTGAGGTTTGATTCCTGGACCCTTTGGCTTAAACTCAAACTCAGGCCGGGCGGGTGTGCGTGCGTGCCCGCCCAAAATCCCGAGGGGAGAATGGAGGAAAAGGGACTGTAGCGTGGCCATACCTCCCAGAGGATGATTTCTCGCTTTCTGTCTCACTGTCTCTCTCTGTCTTTCTGGTGAGCACAATGCCCTATAGCAAAAACGTCTCAAAAAATAAAGGGGTGGGGGGGAACTTATGTATAGTACTGTGAGTTTTGTTTATTTGTTTGTTTTTTTAAAAAAGAGCAGTCACTTTTTAATTATTTAAGATTCTTATACCTTTTTTGGGGGGACATCCCAGAAAAAAGAAAACAGTAAAAAATGTGATGGCAAAGGCACTTCTTTGGTCAAAGGCATGCCTATATCCCCACAATGTATTTAAGCAAGACTGCTCGTTTCACACTCTAGGGGGAAACACTGAGACTTACCCGTTTATCTATAGGCGTCAGTTTAACAAGGCCTTCAGTTTTCTTTTTTTCTGAATTGTGACTTGGAGCATCACAATCATATTCAACTTCTGGTTTAGATAAGTCTCGACAGAAAGTGCAAATCCACTCTCCACTGTTGGGGAATAATGTACCTTTGAGTTCTTAATGCATTATTTCTCTCTTAATTACCCTTTGCCACATCTTAAATACCATCGAATTTCCTTGGCAAAAGCGTCTATCACATACCGAGTATCTGCTAGGTTCCCAGCACCACAGTGAGGAAACGCAGAGACACAGTGCAAGTCTAGTTCATGTGTAGTTGAGGAGCATAACATGCATACATGGAAAAACCACTAAAAAGTGAATATAAATTAATCTAGGGCTGGTATGAGGTATAACTGGCAATATTTCCTCCAAGAATGTAAGAAAACGGGAAGTTCTTTGCATCATTTTAACTTCACATTTAAATTTTACAAATACAGCCTCTGAATTCATGCCAAGATCAACCTGAAAGCTCTTTAACATCATCTCAGGATTCTTATAGGGATTGGGAACTTACGTGAGACATTTGTAAATTACACAGTTCCATGCCTAGGAAATAACATGCAATAAACTGTGGGAACTGGTAGAAATAAAGGTCACTGTCCTAACACCTTGTAGTAACTTAAATGGAACAGACTAGAGTTTTGAGAGCAGTACAGGTAATAGGAGGCAGGGTATGGAGGCCCTATCTTGTCTGTGGTTTTAGCGAATGCATTTGTACCAAAAAGAATTTCATTTAAGGTTTTACAAAGGCTTAATGTTATAATCAACAATCCTCAAAGACTCACGACTATTATTACCTGAAGGAAAGACTGTGGGAAGGTAACAAAGCAGTATCTTACCTCGGGAAATTGGTCAATGTGGGCACATGACAAGACAGGTGGAACACTTTGGGACACTTCTCACAGCAGAGCAGTTCCCCTCCATTCTGACACACTGCGCACCAGTCCTCGTTGGGATCGTCCTCTTTCCTTGTGTCTCCGACATGCAGAGGCGACTTTTGGGAGGCGTCCAGCCACTCCGGTTTTCCATTGGCGGGGTTGGCCGGGTGGAGTCCAGGTTGGTCGCCTGTGCTATCCGGGGCATCTGACCTTGGTGCAGTCTCCTCAGAAGCAGAGCTCTGACTGCTGTTTAAGAGCAGGGAGGTGAGTATGCTTCTTGGATAGTTGGTCTGCAATAGGAAGAGATGACAGTGCATTTTTTCTTTAAAAGCTGGCACTTTCATTAGCAGTCCTATAATTTTGGACTAAAGACTGCTTCTCATGGCACCTGGTTACTTGAAGGAGTCTGTGAATGTGTGTGAGAACAGATCATGATGGCTGCTAATTTTATCAAGTGTTTCTAATAGTGTAGGAGACATTAATCTCCTATCAGAACCAGTGTTTGGCAGTAAGGAGTGCAGATAACATAGAAAAACCCTTTTCAGTATGCTGATAGCTATAGAAATTAGAAAATGGGTGGACAGAGCACAAGTCAACTGCATGAATTATAAATACACTTCACTGTAGCTGTTCATTGGAATTATGACTAGAATACAAAAAATACACCTATAAGATGACACCAAATTTTGTATTAAGCCCAGGATGGGGAAAATTTTGTTAACAACAAAAACTATCTCTTCCCTTAAAGATTTTCTTAAAATCCTGATGTAATAGAGGACCAAGAGTAGGTGTAATGCTTATGTTACTGGACTCCCACGTAGTCGACTCTACTGCGGTAAGAGTCCCGGACCTGTTGGCTTAAACTCATGCCAGGCACGTGTGCATGTGTGCCCAAGATCCCGAGAGGAGAATGAAGGAGAATGGACTGCGGCATGGCCATCACCCATGGGGGGGGGGGTGTGATTTCTTGCTTTCTGTCTCTCTGATTCTTTCTTTCTGGTGAGCACATGCACCCTATATCAAAAACCTCTCCAAAAGCAAACAAACAAACAAACAAGCAAAAGGTACATTTTTCTGCAGTTCGTAGGAAAAACTACTGGGTTGTTGGAAAAGTCATGATGTATTTTTACACATAAAACCATAGAAAACATACATCATGACTTTTCTGACACCACAATATTTTCAAATCTAGCCTTTTCTTTTACTATTTATTGCCGGATTTGTAAATAAAATGTGTATGATGCAATTTCTTGGACTTTCAATTCCAAATGATACACACACATAACTCATTCATCTTAGCACAGTTTTTATTAAGCATTTTTTTTTTAAAGTTAGTAAGTACCAGTATGACTCTCTATGGTTAGCACCTACTTCCAGTATTTTTTAAAGGATTGCTTTATTTTATCTTGTCTGTCTGTTTATTTATTTATTTAAATTTGACCAGAAAGTGACACAGAGAGAAGGAAAGTAAGAAAGCAGCCTGTTAGGCCTGGGACTCGAAACACAGTCCAGTCATGTGTGAGTCCAGCACCCTTAACCACCATGCCACATGCTGGCCCCTAACCCACTACTGATAGTTCATATTGGTAATATACTAGCTAAGTACCCGGAAAATCACAACTTTTAGTTAAATGCACATTCAGATGGATTATATTACAGTTTTCAGTTACAACTGTATTGTCTTTTTGACTACATAAATATTTTTTACACCAATATGGTTTCGTCACTATTGCTCACTGCAGTAGACACTAAGACTGTATTTCTTCTGTGTACAACTTATTTTCATTAAATCAGTAACGATCTCATTTTTTCTCATCTGTTTATTTCTCTAGGTACTTATCTCCAACAAGGTTCTGACATGCCCCTCACGACTGTGGGGCACTGCCCTCCCCTCAGACACGCCCCGTAGAGTGCTTAGTCCTGCAGGAGTTGCTGTCCTGGGACTGCCCTTTTCTTTGCCTCGTTGCCTATCAGACCATGCTTCTGGTCTCACATCTTTCTGCTTCATAAATTACTTATTTTTAATGACTCAAGTTTTCAAATAGCTTCCTGGGAACAAACACATGGTTTTGTTTTTTGTTTTTGAGACCCTGCATGCACGTCTGTAAATGTTTATTTAATTTTCATGCATGAATATTGATTAGCCTGGGCATAGAATTCTGGTGAGAAAAATTATTTTTCCTTCCCAGTTTTGCCGTTTCTTTATTGTGCTCCAAGTTCCAGTGCCAGTGCTATAACTTGACATCTGGTCTCCATTGTATTAGGTGACTTTTCTCTGGAAGCTTACAGAATCTGCTCTTTTCCTCTGAACGTTGGGAGTTGGTGACAATGTGCCCTGAGTCTGTCTTCCTCTAGGACTCTGTTGCTGCAGCCCTATCCTCCCAGAGGCATGAAGTACACAGCATTTTCTTACTAGTTCTTTGGCAATTTCCTTTTATGCAGGTCACTCTGTTCTCCTTTTCCAATGTTCAGCCTCCTCATTTGAGCCTCTGATTTAAAACACTGGTTTCTATCTTTGTCTTTTTAATCTACTGAGATTCCTTCAAATTATTTTAATCTACTTAAGTATAGAACATTTTAAAAAGCTCCTAACAGCTACTTAAAAATTTCTCTCACCCAATACCAACCCCCCAAATAGCAATAGGACTGTAATCCCTGATATAATTACATTTTGAGGCCTAGATTCTTCGTCTGATTCTTGTTTCACTATCACAACAGGAAAATCATAATTTTCTGGTGGTCCGCTGTTTTCCTGTTTTATCCGGATTGGCTCCAACATGACCACAGGGACTTTGTGTGTAGAATCAGCTCCCGCTGGTTTGCTGGAGGAGCCAGAGCTGTAAATATGACAGAGAGGGGGCGGGGGAAAGTATAAGAATGCTATGCTAGACGCCTCAAAACAATATTTAACAATCTCTCCAGAACAATCCTATATTTTCACAACAGTGATAACTATGGTACATGAGCACAAAAGGTACAGAACTGAAATACAACAACTACATGCAAAAGTTTCATTTATAAGACATGACTATGTTGCTGAACTCCCATGTAGTCCACTGCGGTTCGAGTCCCACCCCCGGTGGCTTAAACTCACGCCGGGCATGTGTGCATGCGTGCCCAAGATCCCAAGAGTAGAATGGAAGAGAAGGGATTGTGGCGTGGCCATCCTCACTGGGGGGTGATTTCTCGCTTTCTATCTCTCTTTCTCTGTCTTTCTAGTGAGCGCACGCGTCCTATAGCAAAAAGATCGTTTTAAAAATGTTTTACATAATAACCTATCTAGTTACATATCTTGAGAGATACAGAAATAAGTTTAAATATAACCTGAATTAAAATAAAAATGACTTCAATATTCTGAGGCTCTAAAACTGGGTAATCAACATTATCATCTCAGAACTAACATCTTGGGCTTTCTCATTTTTATCTCTAGTCAATGGCAAAAGGAACACCAGGTTCACATTAACAAGCTGTTGTGTAGGTGTGAGGACAATTAACTAGAAATACACTCATTGGTATTCTGCTATCAACAGTTAAAGAAAGTAGAGCAGTGAGGTCTGGGTGAGCTCCATGGGACCACAGTAATGTGCAGCTCTGGGGAAACCCATGTGGTGAATGTGGTTTGACTCACAGGCCCAGCTGGCTTAAAACATGTGTGTGGTCAAGTGCCCAGGATTGGATGGGCAGGACCAGATCGGAAGGGGCCCATGGCATGACCAGACCCCGTGAAATGAGCTCCCTTCTCTCCCTCACAGGCATGTATGCATGCTCTATCAAAATAAAGAAAACAAAAATGTAAGGGAAGTATTAGGAGAAAAACTTCTTACAAATAGCTATTATGCTTTCATGGGAATAAACATTTTCTATTCAGAGAATGTTTCTTCCATGTGGTTAAACTACGGTGACTTTCAAGTATAATGAGGTGAAGAGCAAAAGAGTATCTAAATACAAATTGTCAACTGTGAACTTACTGCTTTTAAAGTATTAGTCGTCTGGAAAGTCATGGCATGTTTTTCTATGCAGCGACCCAATAAAACCAGGTCAGTCATGGTGGCTAAGCAGGGGCACAAGGCTTTGCACTGAAGCATGTGGGCCGACTTGCACATGCCAGGAACGAGCCTGGTGCCTACGTGACTATGCCTGTGGCTAGATGGGAAAGGGACCACAAAATAAGATTATTTTTTCCATTCATTTGTCAGAGGGTGCACAAAGAGGGCAAAAGGACTCCCATAGGGAATGGTCACGCTATAACTCCTTTTCCTCCATTTTTGCCTCCTTTCGGGATTTGGGGCACACACACGGCTCTGGTGTGGTTTTTTTTTTCGGAGAGGTCTTTGCTATAGGGTGCATGCGCTCAACACACAGAGAAAGACAAAGAGACAGAAAGCGATAAATCACCGTCGGGGGGGATGGCCACGCTGCAATCCCTTCTCCTCTGTTCTCTCAGGATCTTGGGCACACACACACACATGCCCGGCGTGAGTTTTAAGCCACCGGGTCTAGGATGTGAACTGCAGTTGACTATGTGGGAGACCAGCAACATAGCCATTACACTAACTGTTGGTCCCCTCTGGTGTGTTTTTCAACCAACTGCTGCCAGGTCTAGGACTGAAACCATGGGGCCAACCATGTGGAATCCAGCTGACATAACCACCAGGCCATGAGCAGTCCTACATGAAATCCTATTAAGAGTGCTTATCTTTCTCCCTCTTTAGAAATAAACAGGGACCAATAATAGGTGGTGTGCTGGCTCACACACATGACTGACCAGGGTTTGAATCCTGGACCTGATGACTTGAAAAGCATGCCAGGCACATGTGCATGCGTGCCCAAAATCAAGAGAGAAGACTGGAGGAAAAGGAATTGCAGTGTGGCCATCCCTCCGTGGTATGATTTCTTACTTTCCCTCTGCCTGTCTCTGTCTATCTCCCACAAGAGCATATGACAAAATCCTAAAACAAACAAACAAAAAATAAAAATAAATAAACGAACTTGTAGAACCAGGCCAAGCCTCTGTTCCACAGATGAGAGCATGCCAGACTAAGGAGCAAGAAGCCACATGCACACTGTGGTTGAAAACACACTGGATATGTGCACATGTGCCCAGAGGATCCTGGAGAAACAGAGGACTGGAGAGATGGGATCCGTGTGTGCAAAGTCCTACGGAGGGTATTTTCTCCCATCCTCAACATTCATGTTTGTGCTCTATCGTGAATAATAGTCATTTTAAGAAACAGAATCAATGTTTGGTCATTAGAAAATTAGAAAACATTGAAATTAACATAAAACTGCTTCTTTCCCCTAAGTTTGTCTTTGTATACCAACTTTGTTTCCCTACTAATATGCAAAAGTCAAACTTTTTTATTTTCAGTTTTTGCTATAGAGTGTGTACGCTTGTCAGAGAGAGACAGAGATAAAAAGAAAGTCAGAAATCAACCCTCTGTGGGGGCTGGCCATGCTGCAATCCCTTCTTCTCCAGTCTTCCCTCTGGATTTTGGGCAGTGTGCACAAAGTGTAATTGCCTAGCTGCCAGGTCCAGGACATGACCCAGTGCCTTAACCTTCATGCCACCAGCTGGTCAATACTTTTGTATTTTTAACATACAAATATTTTTCTTATTTAAAAATTTGCCAGTTGGGTGCATGTACTTGCCAGAGAGAGAGGAGGGAAAAAGAAAAAGCACCCCCCATAAAAGATGGTTATTCTGCAATTTCTTTTCTCCCATTTTTCCTGCACTTTGGATTTGGGGAAACAACACAGACAGGCTTGGCGTGTTTTTCAGTCACTGGATCCAGGACTCAAACCGCACAGTTGGCCATGTCGGGGCCCATCTGCCTTAATCACCACTTCACTGGCTGGCCCCATACAAACATTTTTTGATATTTGAAGATAAATTTGTACTTTACTCAATAATTTAAGTAAAGGATTAATATAATAGAGGGAGTTGAAAAGGTTGTAGGTTTTTTTAACTAAGGCACAAGTTTCAGTGTAAAAATTTTTTCAAATCTATGCCTTGCTATTTCATAATATACTTTGCACAAATTCTTTAAAGACCCCCCTGTATAATTATAATTAAAGTCTTAATTGGAAAACTAATAAAATAAGCTGTTTAAAATATACTGTATATAAAAACACATGTCGAACAATAGCAAGAAAAATCTAGAGATTTTACGTGACAGCGAACACGGTTAAGTCAGTTTACCTTCCCCGGCTGCCAACGCTGGAGGCACTGGGTGATCGTATTGGGGGATGTACACTAGTCATAGTGACAGGTCCTGGGGAAGAGAAGCAGACACAGTCACAGGAAGGACCAATAACTACGTCTCACAGCACTACCAGTTGGGCCCACCAGGACTGTGCTGGCACAGGGAACACATGATGGAATTACAAGGAACAGTACGTTGTTGACCTCTCAGCCTACTCCGTTCCATCCTGTCAGACCGACAGGGTCCCTCAACCTCAGCACTACTACTCCTTGGCCAGATCGACTGTGCTGGTGAATGTCTGCGTATCATAGGACGTTTAGAAGCACCCTGGTCTCTACCGGTTATTAGATGCCAGTTGCATCTCTTCACACCTCTTATCCTGGGGTGTGATGATCAAAACGTCTCCAAACTGTCACTGCCAAACCTTTCCTATGTTAGAGAAACCAGGGTAAACTCTCAGTGAGGACCCTAGTGCCAGTGAAAGCACCAGAAGACAGTGAGAAAAGTCCTAGGAGCTGATAAACAATCTCAAAGCGAAAAAATTCTAAAGATTTGATGTAAAACAAAACAATTTATAAAGTGAAGAGAAAAAAATCATTTTATTGGTCTGTCAACTCTACAGAACTTCTTTTTAAAATCAAAATAAAATGAAGGTATAATAGTAACATACACTCATTTAAAATTAGTTGAAAACCATAAAAAGATATAACATTTAAGTGACTCATAAGTTCTCCTTCCCTATATAAACACTGCCAAAATGATGTGTCTCTTTCCAAGTTCGAGCTCAGTTACATTGTTGAGACTAAGAGCACACCAAGTGTGCCACAAAGACTTCGCACGCGCAGTCTTCGAATACGTGGTTGCCTGGGAGTACATTACGATTTACTTTTATAACTCTCTATTTGTATACTTACACATTGCTTCACATCTTTTAATTAATGCAACTAAAGTTTGATAAATACGTTCTGCCTATCGAGGTTTTAATTGTTTCCTTATGGTTGGAGTCTACATATGGAGTTACTGAGCTCAAGGTCACATACATTTTCTAAGGCCCTTGAAGCAAACATGCTCCTGGGTAATGCATATATGGCACTCTGTCCACTGCAAGACACAGAGATGTACTGACAATTTAGCTTCAGTAAAATTAGCAAAGCCCCTTCCAGAAATATCCTGCCAGATTTGATCTCCATTGGCTATATATATGTATACATATGAGAACCTCTCTGGTCATTCTCACCAATGCATATTTTTACTAAGTTGCTGCTAGTTACACAGTCAGAAATTTACCTTATTTTGATTTTTCTTATGCCTATTAGTGAGACTGAACATTTCTGTTTCATCTATTTTTAATCTCCTATATGTATATACTCTTTTGGGAATTATTTACGTATCATGTCTTCTGGCAAAACAGAATTCTTTGTTTAAATAAACTTGTTTTGTCATATTATAAAGATTCTCTGTCGTATTTTGTCAAAAATTTCCTTGTCTCTTATGTTTAAAATGGGCAACTCCATTTAAATTCTACAATTGTCTTACTATATTCACATGAATACTTAAGAAATTCTGCTCTTTATTTTGGTTTAAGGCTCATATTTTGCCAAGGTCTTCAGGAATAGTATTAGTGTGTATCTCTCTAGGAGAAAATGAGTGAGTCTGTTAAAAATTCTTTAATATTCTAATATTCAAAAATTGTAATGCATTTTGATTCTAGGCAAAATATATTCTAAGAGACCACATCACGGGCAACTTGTTAATAAAAAGAGTACAATATTAATTATCTCTCAGGAATGTGCTAACACCTAGAATTTGTATTGAAATTGAAAAAGTAAAGACTTATCTTTGTTTCCCACTTTGAAATTATATCAATTTTAAGTAGAGCAACAAATTCAAAACACATATTTAAAATGCAACAACAAATAAATAAAAAGGAGGGGGAAGCATCTTTAAATTATTTCTAGAAAAACTGGCAAACATTCACATAAACCAAAGCAAAGCCGACACACCTGGAAGACCTGGAGACGGCACTGATGAATTTGGTGACTGGACGGCTCTGTTGGAGGGTGGTCGTGGCTGGCTGTTATCCACACTGGCATCCTTCCTCACAACATTGTCCAGCATGATAGTACTTGAGCAGTCAATCTTACAAGAAAAATTACTTCAGGACACGCTGACTTTGCAAGTTAAACAATACTTTAGAAAGCATCAGTAACTGGACTCCCATGTACTTGACTACGGTTCAAGTCCCGGACCTGATGCTTAAAACTCATGCCAGGCATGTATATGTACATGCCCAAGATCCCAAGGAAGAGAAGGGAATGTGGCGTAGCTGGCAAACACACATGCCCTATAGAAAAATCTCTCTTAAAAGAAAAGATCGATAACTTAATATTTCAAAATAAAAAGACATGTAACCATCACATTTGAGAAGTTCTGGTGGGTATTTTCCCCACAAACAAATTTGAATTAAAGTTTTTACTCTTCTATTTTATTAAGAGAAACATTTTTGCTATAGGGTGTGGGGGGGTGGCCACGCTGCAATCCCTTCTCCTCTTAGGATTTTAGGCACACATGCTCGTACACCCGGCTTGAGTTTTGAGTTGCCGGGTCCAGGACTCGAACTGTAGTCAACTATGTGGAAGTCCAGCGCCCTCTGCCACCACGTCACCTGCCGACCCCCCAACATTATCCTTATATAAAAAAATTCTATTCATTCAGCTTTTGAGTACATTTTCCTGCATCTTTACTTCCCTCCTTTCTCAGCTGAAGTTCCATGACCATCGCCATCATCATTCACTTACAAACATATTTAACTCCATTATCCTGAAAGTCAGTTCTGTTGTGTGGCCAACTGTTTATAATCTTTTTGTTTTTACTGCTGATATAATGTTCATAAAGAATAAAAACAACTTTTCGGGAACCAGCAGTTAGCATAATGCCTATGTCGCTGGACTCCCACGTAGTCGACCGCGGTTCGTGTCCCGGACCCGGTGGCTTAAAACTCACGCCGGGCACGTATGCGTGCGTGCCCAAGATCCCGAGAGGAGAATGGAGGAGAAGGGATTGCCACGTGACCATCCCCCCTGGGGGGTGATTTCTCGCTTTCTGTCTCTAATGTCTCTATCTGTCTGTCTGGCGAGCGCACATGCCCTATAGCAAAAAAACCTCTCCAAAAAAAAAAATAATAAAAATAACTTTTAAAAAACACGCAATCTATACTCCTAGAAATCCATACCTTTTACAAAATTTAAACTCACTGACAATTTTCCAGAGACTATTGTTATAAATTCTGTGTATACTTACATCAGGAAGAGAAGGAAGATTATAAGAACCTCCCACTGGTGAGCTCAAATCGATCATAGGGGAGTTGAATGTCTTCCCATCATACCCTGCAGCACTAGTGATGGTGGGGCTGGAAGGCGTGGAGGACGAACTGCTAGCGGTTGACGGGGCCTGTCCACTGCTGATCTGCCACTAGAAGAGAGGGAAGAAAAAAGGTTTCCTCAACCTGCCTATGACGTGAGATGCCTCCTGATCACTCCTTAAGACACAAAGTTTGATTTTAATTTGAATGGAAAGAGAGAGTAAAGACTGCTCAGGTATATACAATTTACATTACTCCTGCCAGAAATTTTAAAAGCACGCTTTTTCATGTCTCGAGAACAGATAATTAAGTCTCAATAGACACTGAGGAGAGTCTTGTCATTCATGCTAGAGGCTGAGCTTAATTAATTAAGATAATGACAGGAGTGCTGAAGTCTACAGCAGGTGAAGCACTCAGATGCCTTTGATTTACTTCAAAACCAATCAAAAGATAAGACAGCTTGATGAATAGATGAACGGATGGGGGCAGAGATGATATGTGACAATAAAGCAAAATGTCCCCTACAGAATGTTCCTTTAACATTTATTGTTTCAAAATTTCATAATAAAATGCTGGGGAAAAGCGAAGTGACTATGATGTATCTCAAGACCATGTATGGAAAAGTCTCCCAGACATACTGTTATTTACATATGGATGAGAATATACATACAAGGATATCTGAAACACCGTAATTATGAAAAATCTATGTGTTCCGCTATAAAAACTACATACAGAAAATGACAAAGCTGTATGTGAATGGCATCTTCACCACTCCCACACTCCTCCTATTTCCTCCCAACACTGTCTTCTCCTCTCCCAATAGTCACAGCTACAGTTGGTGGCTAGCCTTCCAGATTTTCTCTATGTACGCTGAGGTTTGTTTGTTTGTTTTTTTAAATAATTACTTTTACTTTATTTATTTATTTATTTTCATTTGACCAGGGATGGGGGAGGAGAGAGACAGAGAGAAACCAAGAAGGCAAGCTGCCAGGTCTGGGACTTGAACCATGGTCAGCCACGTAGGAGTCTGCAACCTTTAATCACCACATCACTTGCCAACCCCACATTGAGATTTTTTTAAAGAGGTTTTTGCTGTAGGGCATGTGTGCCTGTCAGAAACACAGAGAGAGACAGAGAGACAGAAAGTAAGAAAGCAAGCCCCAAGGCCCGAGGGCCATGCCGCAATCCCTTCTCCTCCATTCTCCTCTTAGGATCTTGGGCACACAAGCACATGTGCCCAGAGTGAGTTTAAGCCACTGGATCCGGGACTAGAACTACGGTCAACTACATGGGAGTCCAGTGACATAGCCCTTATGCCAATTGCTGATCCCTTACATTGAGATATATTTTTTAAAAAGCTCCAAAACCAAACAAAAGACATGCACACACAAATAACATAATAACTCATAAAAATTCTGTAAAATATTTCCCCCCAACATAACATACTTAGACAATCATGCATAGATTGTATTTTCTTAAAATCTGAAAAATAATCTCACTGTATGAGAATACTGTGATTTGTTAAGCTAATGTGCCAATTAAAGCGAATTTTCCATTATATTTTCTTTCAATGTGTTCATTCACTTATCCCACTCTTAGATTTTTTGGACAGTAAACCTTTAAAAAGAGATTCAGTTTCTACTCATAAAATACAATAAATGAGGGACCAGCAGTTAGCGTAATGGCTATGTCGCTGGACTCCCACGGAGTTGACCATGGTTCGCATCCCGGACCCGGTGGCTTAAACTCATGCCGGGCGCATGTGCGTGTGTGCCCAAGATCCCCAGAGGAGAAGGGATTGTGGCGTGGCCATACCCCTGGATGGTGATTTCTCGCTTTCTGTCTCTCTTTCTCTCTCTGTCTGGCGAGTGCTTGTACCCTGTAGCAAAAACCTCTCCAAGAAAATAATAATAATAATAAATGAGAAAGAAATAAAGTAAACATTGGAATACCCAGGAAGTACTCATACATAACTTAGAATTAGCATCCAGCAGAACTCTGCCCAATTCTCATTTTATAATTAGAGCAAGTAGTATTTTTAAAAAATAAATGTGCCCAAGGACACAAAATTACAAGGAAAATAAATAAAATTTAAAGCCAAATAATACCCTGGGCACTTTCCAACCAACCTCTAAAATGAAATAGAAATATTTATGAGTGTTATTTAAAGTAACTAAAATATTATTTAAGAAAAGATAGTGATAATTTAACAAAGCCAAACTGATCATACAAATACACACACACAGGTATATGGACAGATGCAAAGAGTGTGCATATTTCATAATAAAAATTTCAAATTAGTTGATTATAATAAATTTCACAGAATTATGGAAATTGTACTGTCATATTTATCTTGGTCTTGGTAAAAGAAAATAAAGTGTTAACAGTCTATAAGCCTTTGCTAAGAAGACTGTTGACACAGGTGATTTGAGAAGACAAAGCACTGAGATTTAATGATTGATTGATTGATTGGAGAAGTTTTTGCTACAGGGCGCATGCGCTTGCCAGAAAGACAGAGAGATAGAAAGCGAGAAATCATCCCCCAGGAGGGGGGATGGCCATGCCACAATCCCTTCTCTCAATTCTCCTCTGGATCTTGGGCACACATGCATATGCGCCCAGCGTGAGTTTGAGCCACCAGGTCTGGGACTTGAACTGCGGATAACTACACTGTAGTTCAGCGATATAGCCATTATGCTAACTGCTGGTCCCGAGATAGCTTTATTTTAATATAAAACCTAAAAACCACTTTTATGTACAAACATTAAAAATAACCCGAATTACATTTAAAACATGACCTTAAATATTAAACTTTATCAGGTGTATATATGTATTCCATATTGTATCTGTCAAAACTAAGGCTGTTTCTCTTTGAAACCTTTTAATGATTAATATATTACTCTCTTTGTGAAATGTAATTTGTACTTATTAGAATGCTTCTTAGGAAACTGAACCTACTCACCCTAAAAGCTATACACAACAGTGTTACAAACATCAATACCCACAAGTCATGATTATATGGAGATTTCATCCCTATTTAAGGGGCTTGGTTTCTCTTCTTGATGACAAAGCATCAAGATTCTTTCTCTTAGCCTTATCTCCGTGAAGTCTGTCGGTAATAAACTTTGTAAGTCACGTTTAGTTAAAAAGAAATAACGAGAGCCATTGCTCTTGCTCTTCATTACCCATTGATTAACCTATAAATTCAGTATGATGTTCAAGTAGAAAAGCAGAATCCGGAGTGGAAGAGAAGAGATAAATATTTACCTGTTTTATGGCTTGCTGAGCCAGAAAAGCCATCTGGAGGGGATTGGGCTTTACTGCTTGCCTTGGTATATTCTGATTGGGTGGATATCTTAGCTGTGGAGGATGAGGAGGAAGAACTGGTCCATTGGGCTTGGGGCTGTGATTTTGAAAATTTATCAAACGTGGAGGGGGTTGCTAGAAAATAAAAAAATTAAGGCAATTCAGTTAACAGTGATTTCCTGAAAGAGAAATGACAGAGATCGCTACTTTATAAAACATTTTCAGAAAGATTCGGCCACAAATGCATCATCTATTAGAGTAACGGGGACATGGCCAGCTGGTGGCAGGGGGGTGTAAGTGGATTGATCCCACATCGTTGTGTAGTTCAAGTCCCAGACCCTGCAGGTTCAAGTACTGGACCTTCCATCTTTTTTTTTTTTTTTTTTTTTGGAGAGATTTTCACTGTAGGGTGCATGCACTCGCCAGACAGAGAGACATAGAGACAGAAAGCGAGAAATCACCCCCTGGGGGGATGGTCACGCCACAATCCCTTCTCCTCCATTCTCCTCTCGGGATCTTGGGCACGCACGCACACGCGCCCGGCGTTGAGTTTTAAGCCACCGGGTCCGGGACACGAACCACGGTCGACTACGTGGGAGTCCAGCGACATAGCCATTACGCTAACTGCTGGTTCCCTGGACCTTCCATCTTGAAAGACATGCTGGGCACATGTGTGTGTACCAAAATTTCTGAGAGGAGAGTGAAGGAGAAGAACTGCAGTATGGCCAACCCTTCTGGGGGGTGACTTTTTATTTTTCCTCTCTCTCTCTCTGTACTAAGTGCACATGCCCTATGGCAAAACTTAATAAAAAAAAAAATAGAGTAAGGGAGATGGTGGATGGGGGAAGAGATGGGCTGACCTCCAGAATTTGTGTGAACAATTTAAAACGAGAATTGTATTAGGGCAAATCCCTGGGAAGTGGGGGTTGTCAATCAGATTTACAAGTAGGATGTACATCACTGGACCTAGATCATGCTGATGAGTAGGTAAAACACATTGTTAGTAACGTTTTACGTCCTTAATAATTATCTTTTGCAAAGAACTGCCCTTTCATATCTTAAAAAAGTGAAGCCACAATGATAATCACTAACAGTAGCTGAGCAGTTACTAAAACCTAGGTACTAGTTTACATGCTTCACATGCATTCATTCATTTAATCTTAACAACAATCCTATGAGGAAGGGATTATTAAGCTCTTAGAGCTGGATCCCACATGGTCAAACACGCAGCTCAAATGCTGGCCACCATGGACTGAAAAACAAGCTAGAAGTGTTTGTTTGTGCCCCAAATTCTTATTGATGGAGAAAATAGAGCAGAAAAGACTGTAGTGTGACCACATCCCATTGGGGATGCTTCTTTCTCCCTCCCTTCTTCATGTGTTTCTATCTCTGGTGAGTGCATGCGCCCTCTAGTCATTTAAAACAAAACAAAATACACACACCAAAGAACAAATGAAAAAGGTAACAATGAGTGTTTTATCTTATTGATTATATGTACGCCAGGCATTTTACATGTAATATGTCATTGGGCCCCATGAAGGTACTCTTATTATTATTTTACAAATTAGGAAACTAAAGATTATAAAGCTTAGATAACTTGAAAAACATCATACAGCTAGTAAAAGGCAGCACTAATGCTTTAATCTACATCTACCATATCATTAACAAAACATGTTCTGGTGTTTAGTCGGCTAATTAAGACACTGAAATTATTATGGCTTAGAAACTGGAGTGTCTCTACAAGAAAATAGGTTTTGAAAGGAAACCCTCCAGGGACAGCATTGTTGATTAGAGGAAGGTGGGGGTGAGGGAAATGGAAACAGGGCAAGGGTCAAGAAGGAAGGTCCACACTGATTTCTGTGTATATATTAGCTTGGAAACTGAGACTGAACTTCCTAAAAAAAACAACATAACCTTACACACTAGTCTCCTTTTGATTATCCCCTCTCTCTCTACACTTGGGAATTTATTATAAAATAACTATTTCTTTTTAAGATATCATAGCTGTATATAATCTGAACTTCTCAGAGAGGGAACTACTTTGTCCCACATTCACAGGGAGACAAATAAATGGACAATAAATGGAGACTCTGTGAGGCTCAAGTAGCACTATATAAAACTTTGATACTGTGAAGGTTGGCAGCTATAAAGTGTAGCCCTGTTCTCTTTCTTTCCTCCTATTTTTGGAGTTCAATTTGATGTTCTGGGTCTACTGCTTGTCTCTTCCTTTCTTACAAATTAGCTGGCACAGGACCAGCAAGCGGCATGGTGATTAAGGCTCTGGACTCTCATATGGCCAACTGGAATTCAAGTCCTGGAACTAGCAGCTTATTTTCTCAGTTTCCTGCCTTTTCTCACTGTCTCTCTCTCTCTCTCTGGTCAAATAAAAAAACAATGATGAAAAGAAAAATTCTTAAAAAAAAATTAGTCAGTACTAGGTTCACTTTCATTAACTTTCAAGAGTAAAAATAGATTTAGATATTGCTTCTAGACACAGTGAAACTCTGTATATGAAGACTACAAAAACAATACTAGACACAAATAGTATCTCAAAACTTTACACCAACATAAGCCTAAAGCCAAGACAATTATTGTTTATTTTTCTATAAAAGTTTTATGACTTGAAGGTTTTTTTATACCATACAAACAAAACCAGAGAATAGTTGGCAAATGACAGTAGAAATAGTGAAAAGCTTCCACTATGCTACATGGGATATTTGTACAGAAATCAAGTCTGAAAAGGGTAAATTCTAATAAACACTTTCCTTTTCTATTTTGGCCTAGTTTCTAAGATGCAACATAGCACTCTAAACAGTATCCCAATAGAGAACAGATTCTGAGGCAGTGATGAAATTACAGGTATACAACTTTTCTCATCAAGCATCAGCTATTTAAGAATACGAACATTTATCTTCTACTGCAGTTTGAAGACAGTGACTAGTAGATTCAAAGATGACCAGCTAAATAATCCATTATATTCTTTTTGAGTAGGGCTAAGACATAGTTGTTAAATTTGGGACCCTTGATATAATACATTTTTATAAGTGCACATACTTAAATCATGGAGTATAGATGCCTTGGTTATATTAAAAGCTGAACACATTATACTATAGTCATTCAAGTTAGGACCGGCCTGCTTCCAAATTTACCTGATGAGAGATGGAAGGCTGTTGGACGGGCCCCTGCATTCTAGGGTTTGGTAAACCCACGGGCGCTGGCCTCCGCTGCACCTGCTGCCTCTGAGCCATTACCTGTTGCTGCATATGCTGGAGTCGTAACTGAGCTAGGCTGATCTGTGTTGGAAACTTGGATAACTGGTTTGAAGACAAACCACCTGGTGGCTGCGAATTCTGTTCCACGACAGGATTCTGCTTAGGCATTTGTGGCTGGCTCTCTTTATCCTCGATTACTAAAGAACCTAATTAAAGACAAAAGATAAGGGGTACATTTTTTTTCTTTGATATCTGGTGAAACATCACATTTTTGAAAGGCAATTTTTGCTGAATTTCAGAACTGCAAATTAACTTTTTGGTCTCAGAATTCCTTTACACTCTTAAAAACAGAGGATAACCACAAAGTTTTTATTTATGTGGGTCCGTCCTACCTATCAAAATTTATCAGGTAAGTTTACTAAAAAAAAAAAAAGTAGGGCCACCTGGTGGCTTGGTGAAGGCAGTTGGATGCCACATGGCTAGCTGCATGGTTTGAGTCCGAGACTTAGTGACTTGAAAAACATGCTGCACGCATATGCAAGCATGCACAACATCCCGAGTACCCAGAATCTTAAAGGAGAATGGAGAAGAAGGGACAGCAGCGTGGGCATTCACCATGGTGGTCACCTTTCATTTTCTCTCTCTCACAAGTGCACATGCCCTATAGTAGCAAATTTTTTAAAAAAAATTTCTATTCACAAATTCATTTAAAAATAACTGTAAAGACATTTAAAAATATTTACAGTAGGGAAAAGTGACATTATTTTACATTTTTGAAAATCTCTTTAACTGTTTATCTTACCAGTTGAACTCTCTTATCTGTTTCTGCATTATCTGTCATTTATAATATTCTATTTATGTAAAAATACCTGAAGAAAATCTGTTCTCACAGAAATTCATGTAGTGGGAAAAGTGAGGCCTCTAGGGACGCCTAAGAGCCTCCGGCTGTACTTAGACAAAACGAGCAAACCTGACATTGATTCCGGAAAACCACTCCACATAGTATTTATTATTCTTTGTTATTAACAACCTGCAATCTCTTAAAGTTCTTATACCTTCACAAGGTGTATCATTTAGTTCTCTGATGGAGCATATTTTAGATTCAAACTAGTTGTAGAGTTTGGAGGTGCTTCTGATAAATATGATCCACACATGGATTCAACAGCAGAGACTTGATGAAATAATTTACTAAGCATAAACATTCTTAAAAAATATAGTTATCATTCATTAAATACTTGCTGTATATCTGGCACTGTGATAGGCAGGTGTGTGTGCGTGTGTGTGTGTGTGTAAAGAAATGTAACATTAGGACATAGGGTTTGGAGAAACTGAAAGACTTGCCAAAGTCATCAAAACAAAAGACGAATATTCATCTAGATCACTATTTTTTCCCCCTAGGACTCTTCCATACAATTTTCTTAGAAGGCATGGATAAAGAAGTTTGGAAAATGGTAAATAGAAGATTTACAATGTAAATCTTACTGTGAATGAATTCACTAGGCTATAAATTACTGCTCTGAGATGTCTTATTGCTTAATTTTATTCCATAAAGGTTTCACAAATGTATTTGACTAGGAAATTGTTTGTTTTTGCTAATGTATTAAGTCATCAGAAAAGTCATGATGTGTTTTTCTGTTATTCTATGCAAAAATACATCATGACTTTCCAAAAGACCCTTACCTAAAACTATATCATTCTTGCATGTGCAGTTTTAAAAACAATTCTTAAACGTACCTTTGTCTACATGTGGGTGTCTACATTTTATACATTATACAAGTTCATATATATATATCAATGCATATGATCAATTACACAGATTTACAACTTCTGGGAGGTTCTCAGTATAAATGCGTAAAGGTAGGGTGTGGTAAAGAAGAGTTAATTATAAATATGCTTTGTATTACTGAAGATGTGTCTTTTTTGTAAGGTGGATTAGAATGCCTGGGATTACAGTGGCTTACTTTTTATCAATATGCCTATGGATGTACAAACTTCTAAAATGGCCTATGGGATCACCTTATCACCTTTGCGCTCCCCAGTGTGGAAGAGATTTCTATAAGCCTATTTCTCCCTTTCCTCATGCCTTACGAGAACACTGGCGAATGCTCCAGACATATTCTCCTTTCCTATCTATTGACTCATTGAAAAAATCATGATGCATTTTTGCATTGAAAAGTATGTCGTGACTTTTGTGATGACCCAATAGAATCTAGCCTTGCAGATGAGAGAGAAACCAGCTTTTATGATTCTGAAACAAAGTTGGTGGGCCCAGAATATGTAAAGAGAACTCGGATGCTGATGAACAAACAAAATATAGGGAATTCTTCAAGTTGTTTGTTTAGTGTTCCTGTGAGAAATCAAGAGGCAAAAACAGTTTCTATTCGGTCAACAAATAGTGTAACAAGATAGCTACATCAACTTTCAATTGAATAGCTTACATGCCTCTTTGAGCTTCTGATGTTACGAAAATGATAGACTCTCTTTGTGATAATTCCATGAGCTCTTACACTTAAGATCTGGATACTTTCTTGTGTGTGTGCTACACTTCAATTATTAAGTTTTTCTTTTATTTCCTTTTTTTCCTTTTCTTTTCTTTCTTCTTTTTTTTTTTTTTTTAGATATTTGCTATAGGATGCAAGCACTCATCAGAAAGACAGAGAGACAGAGAAACAGAAAGCGAGAAATCAACCCCTAGGGGGATGGCCACGCCGCAATCCCTTCTCCTCCACCCTCCTCTCAGGATCTCAAGCATGCAAAGACACACACCCAGCGTGAGTTTAAGCCACCAAGGTTCGGGACTTGACCATGGTCGACTACATAGGAGACATAGGCATTACGCAAACTGGTTCTTCAATTACTAAGTTTTAAAAAAGAAAAATAAAAACACACATACATGCACACACGTCACACTCAGGGTGCTCAAATCTATCTACAGATTTAAAAAATTTTTTTGCACTAAAATAAACTTGTTCTTTAATTGTACTTCTTGAACTTTTTTTTTTCTTGAGAGGTTTTTCACAATAGGGCACGTGCGCTCGTCAGACAGAGAGACAGAAAGCGAGAAATCACCCCCTGGGGGGATGGTCACGCCGCAATCCCTTCTCTTCCCTTCTCCTCTCGGGATCTTGGGCACGCACGCACACGCCCCCAGCGTGAGTTTTAAGCCACCGGGTCCAGGACGTGAACCACAGTCAACTATGTGGGAGTCCAGCGACATAGCCATTACGCTAACTTCTGGTCCCCTATCTTGAACTTTTTGAAGTACTTTTGTATACAATTACTCCCTGACCAGGCAAAGTAAAAATAAAGTCCTTGCCTAATCAAGAAAAGCTACTGAGTGATTGGTTGCCTGATGAAAGTGACCAACAGTAAGTCAATAATAGCCAAACCTCCTTACTCCCTAAACTCGATATCCTGTAAGTCAGGATGAACTATGTGCATGTGTGTTTATATTTATGCATACGTGTAGTCACATATGCAACAAAAAATGCTAGCAACAAAACTATGTTTTTAAAATAAGATAAATAAAAACAGTTTGTGAGTAAAAGGAAACATTTTCAAATAATAAGCCATGACCACGGAGAACTGAACAAACGACGTGTTCATAGTGGCTTACCTAAGTTGATAATATTTTGAGCCCAGAAACTGGGATCACAGTGAAACTGGATGGTGTTGTTGGTCACCGGGGAAGCATCACACCTGGCACGGAGCAGGTGCCGTAGCCGGTATGTGATCTAGAAGGCAGACAGAGACAACTAAATGTCAAGACCGTATACGGTATTCATTTTTGAAGTGTCCAGTAAATACACAAAAACTCTATAGTCTACACAGCAACGCAAACTAGACAATCATATATGGGTAATAAAAGTGAACATAACCTGATTTTCATTCAAAAACAAGTTCAAAGTTTTGAAATGTAACTCAGTTGTATTGCTGAATGCAAAATTATAATGTGTCTTAACGTCTGTTTTTCAAATTAATAAAACTTTCCAGAAACACCAACTCAAATATTTATAAAAATATAAGTTGTACTTTTATTTACTTTAGCTTCCCCTTTAAAGAAATATTCAAAATTCAGGCCCCGGCGCGCAGCAGCCG